GAGATGGGTGAGTGACCGGATGGGTGGGTGGGTGGGTGGGTGGGCGATGTTCCATCCATTGTATGTTTCATGTGTGTTGTCGTTTCTGCTGCCTGGCTGCCATGCAGCGATGAACATCCACGAGCAGCTGTTCCGCTTGGAGGGTCAATCGACGCACAGCCACTTCTTGCCGCTGGAGACTTTCTCATGGGACGTCATCAGATCCTCAGACCCTCCAAACAGGGACGAGCAGCCCGCTGTCCAGGTACGCTATGCATGGGGGCCTGGAAGGCCGGTTGAATGTCATGTGTGCTGCCTTCCATCCGTCCACTCAGGTTCGTTCGCCGGACGGCGAGGCGTGCTCGGTGGTGCCAGAGGAGATCATGATGAACACGGTGACCTGGGTCGTGACCACATACCTTACACAGGCGCCGGCCTTCCCACAGATGATGGCCACACAGCCCAAAGCCAGGGGCCGACCTCTCACACTCACCAGTGGATGAGGACTCTTGCTGCAACCCTGTCGGTCGCTCATTTGTCCTGTGAGTGTGATCGCGTGCGTATGTGTGTGTGTGAGTTTTTCTCTGAGGTCGTCCCCGAAGAGTGCTCGCATGTGAGTTGGAGATTTCGGTGTGAGTCCATGCGTTTTTGCCTTTCGACTGCACTGGTCTTTTCCACGTTGGCTTTTGAGACGTGTGTAGAGGTGGTGTGGCGTACGTGCTGGTGGTGGACAGCGAGGAAGTGCCGCGGCCCTCTTTTTGGCCAGCTGCCGGTGGCTCTGTGTCAGGAAAGACCCCTATGTGGGCATTCGATTCATCGGCCGCCAACAGGACGTGACGGCCACCAACAGGACGTGACGGCCACCAGACATGTGGCACGTGAACAAAGGAGAGGTCCATGCAGCACATCATGTCAGACACGAACTTGCAGAGAAGCAAACGCAGGGGAAGCGAGTCGCCCGAACTGCGGCGGCAGCTATCCTCTCTGCCCTTGACTTTCTTCTATGGCCTCCTCTTGTCCGCAGAAGGCCAATGCAAAGGTGCGGCGAGATAATATTTCGCGACGAGACGAGGGAGACAACCCCGCAAACCCTGATTTATAATTTGAAGTCAACTTTCACAGTTTCCGCCCCTCGTTAGGCTTTCCAGCTTCTTTCCGCCACGAACGCCTCGTCTTTTTTTCCTTTCGCCTGCTTGGTGGCTTATGCAACGCCCTTCACACTTGTCCGGATGAAATCTGTCCCTTCCTTCCCCGCCGCTATGCCGCGAGCGAGGCCTCATCAAACGACCGTCATCTCCTGAGTTCTGTTCATCCCTGCGGTTTTCCTGCGAGCTGAAGGACGAGATTGCAGGAGCTGCGAAACTCAAGGGGGAGACATCGCAACCAGGAGAATAGCCGCCCAGTAGCAGCACACAGCAGTAGTAGTAGCGAGCATCCGGCCGACAGCCACGGCATCGCCGCTCGCTGCGTCCAGGAAGACGCCCAAGCTGACGCTCGCCTCTCCTTTCAGACTCGTGTCTCTCTCTGTCTCCTGAAACCGCTGCTGCGAAGCGAGACGGCCAAGAGACGGCAACAGCAGCAGCAGCAGGAACAAGAGCAGCACCAGCAGCAGCGACGACCATGGGCGCCTCTGGCAGCAAGAAGGAGCTGACGGCCGAGAGCCACCCGCACCACCTCCTCCAAGACTTCCACGACCACCACATCGCCAAGAAGACGCCCACCCCGGGCTTCTGCTGCACCTGTGGAGCCCCGCCGCCTGCCGAGAAGCCTCCCATCGACGAGTTCAAGACGCTCATCTTCGCCCTCAGCAATGCCCCCGGCTGCGCCAACCTCAAGGTACGTTCGCGTGCGCAGAGGAGAGAGCAGCAACTTGAAGAGAAGGAATGAACCCGTCGCCATTCGTCTGTCATCATGTCTGTCATGTGTTGGTTTTCTTGTGTGTGCGTGTTGCCCGCAGGGCAGGGAGGCAGCGCAACTGGTCACGGAGGACAACGTGCACCACCTGGCCTTCATGGTGATCGAGCGGGCGGCGGCCACTGAGAGGAGCGAGGACCGCACCACCCTCGCGACGTTCCTCGACGCCATCGATTCCCTACAGCCAATCCCCTTCGCCATCTCCAAGACCAGCGGGCTGGTGATGAAGGCCATCGACCACCTGTCGGAATACGCCACCTGCAGCCCCACCGCCGACGACGTCAAGAACAGGAGGACACTGGCCAACTTGGGGGACTTTGCCGGCAAGCTCCTCGCCAAGCTGGACCATCATGCCGCTGCCCCCTTCACCGAACGCCTCCCCGCAATGCTCGAGAAGGCGTGCAAGGACGGGCGACTGCTGACGGTCGTCCCCCTTGTATGCAACATCATGCAGCACATATCGAGCATCGGCATTGGTGATGACGACGTGTTGGGCATGCTAAAGGAGATCGTGGAGCTCCCTACCATTCGGCTGCAGCTGGAGTTCGACATCGTGCGGCTGTTCAAGCAGCTGGACATCAACATCGAGACTCTGCGGACGACGGGGCGAGTGAGGGCTAAGGCGATGGCGGCGCCACAGGCAAGTCGTGGGGTCTCCATCCCTCCACTCAGGTTCGTTCGTCTTTGGGGGGATAGTGGTTCATCGCGTAGAGGATCTGCTGGATCCCCATGTGCGGATGATCGACTTGGCATGCTGCGTGTGTGTGCAGCATCGCTGCTTACATTTTATATTCCGATGGCTGTGTTGTTGGTTCCGTCGTGCTCACTCTGGTGTGGATTAGGCAGACTGAATGGGTATGACTGACGGGCGCTGTGAGGGGCGTGCAGACCGATGACATCTGGATGAATTTCTGTTAGCCAAGAGAGTCCATTGACGGATAAGTGTATAATACACACACGCATAGCATCCGGGGGAGGGGGTCCCCTCACTCACGCAGCACTAAGAACAGAACGTGATGACACCGAAACAGCGCCCATGCAGCGTGAAAGATGGATAATAGCAGGTCTCTCTCATGCACTTTACAGTCAGGACTTCCATCCACCTCGTCAGCTACGGACCTATCTGCACTCAGCACTCACGAACGCCGTCGTTACCGACAGACAGCCACAGATCGACGCCCACGGACCGACATGACTACATCTTCCCATCGTGCACATCCGTCCGTCGCCCGCCCCATCGCCACCATCAAGTGACCCACACCCTGGGTGGGGTGGGTGCATCCCCATGTTTGTCGTCCAGCGTCTTTGTGGTGGCGCCAGCTGGAAGTGTCGGCAGGCGGCCGGACGCCGCCGCTGATGTAGACGCCGAGCACGTATGTGTCCTTACGGACGATGATCAGCCAACACAATGGAGCCGTTGACAGACGACCTGCGCTTGACAGACAGACAGACACACACACACACGACTCTTCATCTACACTCATAGTGCGGACGTTTGTGAGTGGTTGTGTACCGGTAGATGAGGGTGAGTAAGACATCGCGGTCTCTGCGTTCGCGCCAAAAAAGACTGAAACTTCAGTCACGCGAAGCTGCGGCCTATCCACACACACTCTGAACGGTGTCCACACACACATACATGTCGCTGTGTGTGTACACATTCGCTTCTCCACGGACAGCGAAACGAACCACGAGGGAAAGTCAAGTAGAGAGAGCTATACAGATGCCCTCAGGTACCCATGCACCACAGGCAGCAGCGGGGCCCGCACTGCTCTCTCACCGTACGGCCCGGACCTCCAGCTCGTCCGCCACGAACACCTCACTGCCCCCAAGTGGCACAGGCAGTGCCAGGCTTATCTGTCCCCTCTCCCAGGTAATATCCGTCCCCATCCGTAGGCAGCCAGGTCATGGGCAGACGTCAGCAGCATAGCTAGTGCTGCCGTCCCCGGACCCCAGCCACCCAACACCCACACATCCCAGTGGCCGGCCACGATTCTTCTCCCTAGCCGCCACCTCCACAACTGGGGGATGGGAGAAATGGGGCATCTCGCTCCTTCTCGGTGTGGAGTAGTGCCGGGACAGCGAGAAGAACCACGAGTCAGTCACTTCAATACTGGCGGCTCATCGTCTGGTCGGCAGGCAGCACAATGCCGCGAGTGACTGACGTCAGTGCCGAACAAAGTCAGCAGGTTGCGGACCATGATCAGTAGGGACCTCCTGCCGGCCACACGCTCGAGGAAGTCATGATACTTGGAGCCATCTACAGACGACTTGCACCACACACAGACAGACAGACAGACACGAGCCTTGATCTGCACTGAGTGCGCGTTTGTGTTGGTTTGTGTTGGTTTGTCTTTCGCCCATCGCATGGCCCGCTGCCGCTGTCCGCCGGTACATGTACTTCCATGCCGATGAAGAGGCCGCCATCCACCACTACCCGACAAGGTGCGGCGAAAAGCTGGAGTTCCGGCCGGAAAGCTGAGAGGAGGCGGGGAAAGCTAGCTAGGCCCACAGAAGGCTAGCTAAGCCCGCGGAAAGCCAGCCAGCCACCCGGAAAGCTGGCCAGACCACCCGGAAAGCCAGCTTTCCAGGTCTCCCTGCCAGCTTGCCAGCCAGAAAGCTGGATGTCCAGCCGGAAAGCTGGCCAGACCACCCGGAAAGCTGGCCTTCCGGGCCTCCCTGCCAGCTTGCCAGCCGGAAAGCTGGCTGTCCCGCCCTCCTGTGTGCTCAGAGGGCGGAAAGCTGGCCTTCTTCACTGATGCGAAGGCCTCCACGGACAGCCCTGCGACTCTCTTCATGAGTCATTGACTGTCAGTGAATGAATGCCATGCATTGGCTCCATCGGTCCAAAA